CTCTGTATTCGGCCCTTCAAAAAGTGTGTATGTTCCTGCACGAAACCTTCACCATTATAATCAATTCTCGTGTGCTGCTGTCGGTTTCCTGGGAACTGATCTGCTTGACTCTCATACGTCGAATTCGACGGGAGAGTCGACTATATGTATATATATATATATATATATATATATATATATATATATATATATATATAATAAAAAAATCTAATCACTTTCGTTTATTTGGTCCTGAATTGTTTCACCTCACGTCCATGTACTGGCAACACTTTTCCGCTAAACTGATGAATATTCAAGAGGAACTCCTATACCAAATTTTGAAAAACCAATAACATTTTTACTCTTGTAGATAAGTACTTGTCACAAAATAAAATTCTTACGTTGACCTTGATAAAGACCCTCAGAGGACGAAACGCGTCGGCTAAGTATTCCTTTTTGTTTTTCTTCCGCAGGTAGCTGTTTCCCGAGACGGGCCGCCATAATATTTTCAGTTGCACTCTCTCCGAAGACAGAGGCACAACTGAGAGATAAAATCTAGTTTATCCACCCGAGGACAGATACTACACTTTGATCCCAGCTAGGCGGAAGTAAAGAGAAGCGTAACTCGAGTAGCACTGGCTGGTCAGTCAATGAATGCAAAATGTGTCCGTATAAGAAAACGGCTAAACGTTATCATTATTTCTGTGCGTCAACCGGGTTACCTTGCCAGTCGTATCTGTTCTCATTGATCTTTGTTTAAACTGAAAGAGAAAATGTCTTTTCTTTTCGTTTCATTCTTGTTTTCTTTTTTTCGGTTTTTATCCAAATCTCTTTCATCTTGATTTCCGTTTTTTTGGCGCGCAAAATTCCGGTTATGAGAAACCGGGGGAAATTTGAAAACCTTTTTTTTTTTTTTTTTTTTCTTTCTTTTATTCGGTGTGTGTTTTAGAAAATTTTAACAGGCTATCAAAATCGAAAATTTTGAAAAGAGAAAAAACAAAACAAAAAAAAACAAATAGAAAGAATTTCTTATTTATTTTTATTTTCTTTTAATAAAATAACACCATTTTTTTTAAAACAAGAATCTCCGGCGTTTGCTAGAACAGAATAGGTTTCAATTCGCAAATACAGAAAATTACTTTACGAAAATTCTAATTAAAAAAAAAAAATCTATCTTAGTTCAGGCTTCCCCGTTATCCGAAATAGCTTAAGGCGAAAAAGCAATTTACATTCATTTATGAAGACAAAAATTCTGTATGCTCTCAAACTCAAAACAAATTACCTCCTCCTCTTGCTGCCTACCTTCATGTCAAAGTTCAAATTTCGGCATCTGATGCGACTGAAATGAAAGGCTTTAAATACGACATCATTCTCGATTGCTTACCCTGGTTCCTTTTCCTACCTTCATGTCAAATTCTCTTCTCTTTGCTTGGTTAACGAGCTTTCCTCAAGTGGTAGGATTAATGTCATTGTCAAGTGGATGCCAGGTTTAAATAAGAGGCGAGAAGCAATCATTAGTATAAACATTTGATCCCTGGTGTAAAATCGAATGACAAAACGGAAAATCACTTTAACGTGTTTCGATCTTCAAAATGACATCATCAGAGAAAAAAAATAATGTTCTTGTCGAAATAATGGGGGAAGGGACGAAGATAGAAACAAAATAAATCGGTTATCGTTACAGTGGAGTAATGGATTGAGGAATCGGAGAACTGAGTTCGAATTCCAATCGAGTTCACTGCGTTCGCTTACATACAAATATTCTTGAGGCAGGTATGAATCCAGATCTGTCCCACCCCAGCACTATCGGGTAAATAGCAGTATAGATATACCGTCAGTATTAATGGGGGCTTCTTAACCTTTTGTTTGTAACATTCCATTATGTTATTTTATCAAAGGTCAAATAGTCGCATGTGGCTCACGAAAAACAGAAAGAAATTCAAATTTGAAGGACAAATATTGTAAGAATGATACAGAATGAAAAAACTCTATGTTCAAAAACGTATGTTAGGTCTGGCGCAACACATTCTATGCGGCTAATGAAAAGAGTTTGTATTGATTACATTAACAGAGGCTTCCTAAATAACCTTTTGTTTGAAAAGAATCCAACGTCTAGAATAGGTCATTATTTTATCTACGAGCTGCATGTGTCTTCCATCTTAGTTTTTGCTGCTGTTTAAAACCATCAAGTTGTGTAATTTCTCCTATGGAGCAAAGTTCTTTTTGTTTTATTCCAAATCGCCAAACCACAAGGTTCGTAGAATGATGCTCCTTAGCCAGACCTACAGGGGTTCATTCGCTTGGAGCCATTTTTAATGGGAAATATGTTATGTTGATGGGAAATATTCTTAACCCTACCACCCAGGGGAAGAAAAAAAAAAAAGAAAAGGTTTTCAAATTTCCCCCGGTTTCTCATAACAGGGAAAACTACATTATGTTGATGGGAAAGTGACTAAAGCTGATATGCCAGGTCAAGACCAATAACTTTGCAGATTCTTCTTTTGATTTTATCGCAGGATCTCTTAATATATATAGCAGGAGAACCAGACCATATGTTGCAGCAATATTGTTAGCAAAGACAAATGATACAACAGATAGAATCAAGCGAGAAAAATTTTGCTGCTCGACCCAATCAACATTTCTCATAAGTAGACTGCAAACGCCTCCATGTTCTTCGACATAGGAGTAGGGGTTTATTTTCAGTTTCTTCTTTAATATTGGATTTCGGATTCCTTCTAAAAAGCATTTAATTCTCTCTCACTCCCAACGTTTCTCAAGCTTTTTACTCTTGCCTAAATCTTAAAATAAATTGCATGTCTCAAGGAACCCCTTCGCAAAAACAAAATTATATACCATATCATTCTCCAATTTACTCCAAGCAAGACGTTAATGCCACTAAGACGCAAGGTTTTATTGGAAATGAGAGATAATGAAAAGCCTGTGAATTTTCTACTATGATTAAAAATGACTCCGAGCGAATGAACCCCTGTAGGTATGGATAATGACCACCTTTCTTCGAATCTTGTGGACTGGCGCTATGGAGTAAAAGAGAAAGAACTTTGTCACTTAACAGAAACCACACCACTTAATAATTTTCAAGAGCAGCAACAACTAAAATGGAAACTCCATGATGTTTTCATCAGCGCCACAGAATACGTTGTGGCTGGACTACACACGGATTTGAGATTTATTATTGTACTTCTCCTAGACTAATTCCCAACTAAGGCTAACTACCTTCGCACTTATGCCCTTCGAATAGGCATGAATCCATTTTTTCTTGTTCAACAACGGTTGAAATCACAACGCAGACTGGGCTCGTTTTCAAGCACTTTCCAAAGGTGCCACACGCTCAGATCGCCTCCTCAGGCCGATGCCATCAAGAAGTAACCATCCTGATAAAACGACCAAAGTGAGGTTCGATCCTGGGACTCATGGTCGGAAATCGAACGTTCTTACTCGACCAAACGCCTATGTATACAACCGCATTCACAGATCGATGATTAAAAATTGCTCCGAGCGAATGAACCCTTGCAGGTCTGGGTAAGGACCATCATTCTTCGAACCTTGTGGTGTGGCGATTTGGAATAAAACACAAAGAACTTTGCTCCATAAGAGAAACCATATTACTTGATTGGTTTTCAACAGCAGCAACAACTAAAATAGAAAAAACACATGCATCTAGACGTTAGATTCTTTTCAAACAAAAGGTTATTTAGGAAGCCTCTGTTAATGTAATCAATACAACCTCTTTTCATTAGCCGCATAGAATGTGTTGCGCCAGACCTAACATACGTTTTTGAACATAGAGATTTTTCATTCTGTATCATTCTTACAATATTTGTCCTTCAAATTTGAATTTCTTTTTTTCTTTCGTAAGCCACATGCGACTATTTGACCTTTGCTAAAACAATAACACAATGGAAGAGTTAGATTGTTTGAAAGAAAATGTTAGGAAGCCCCCGTTAATACTGACGATATATCTATCCTGCTATTTACCCGATACTGCTGGGGTGGGACAGATCTGGATTCATACCTGCCTCAAGAATATTTGTATGTAAGCGAACGCAGTGAACTCGATTGGAATTCGAACTCAGTTTTCCGATTCCTCAATCCATTACTCCACTGTAACGACAGCCGATTTATTTTGTTTCTATATTTGCCCCTTCCTCCCAACATTTCTTTTTCTCTGATGATGTCATTTTGAAGATCGAAACACGTTAAAGTGATTTTACTTTTCCGTTTTGTCATTCGATTTTACACCAGGGATCAAACGTTTATACCAATGACTGTTTCTCGCGGCTTATTTTAACCTGGCATCCACTTTGACAATGGCATTAATTTGATGCAAACAAAAAGAAAAAAAAAATGTCTAAAGTAATATTCTTAACCCTACCACCCAGGGGAAGCTCGTTAACAAGCAAAGAGAAGAGAATCCTGAGATTTTGGATTATTTATCTGTTTTTATTCTTTGAGAAACTAATCCTTTTCTGCTAACGAACCAATGGACAATATACCTGGTGTCTTTATGGGACTAGCGACATTTTTCAAAAAAGAAAGAAACGCGATATATATATATATATATATATATATATATATATATATATATATATATATATATATATAATATACAAGTGACTGAAATTGCCATAGATGAAGGTAGCTGTTGAAAAGTCGGAAGTACATGAGAATAAAATAAAACCGGAAATCAAAAGGAGGATAAAGTAATTGGAATTAAGAGAAAAGACGAAATATTAAAATGGAGAGAAATGGATATAGAAAAAAAAAAACGAGAAAAGATCGAGAGAGTTAAGAATATAAAAGGAAAAGTAGAGTTTTTTTTAAAAAAAACCGAAGGGCAGAGAAAAACCTGAATGAAAGACAGATTCAAAGTAGTGAATTAAATTATTAAGAAAGTAAGAAGTGGAATTGAAAAAAAGGGGAAAAAAATTGAAAATGGAAAGAAAGGATATAAAACACAAAGAAAGTTTCAAGAGAAATGAAAAGAAAGGGGTAAACTAAGC